TAAAACTACACACAGGCCCGCCGCCCACATGGAGCCTTTCTTCACCACATTTCTCTCTCCCCATCTGCCCCTTTGGCTTCATTTTGGCATTTTTACTTGAGAACTCTGGGCTGGACCTTAACGAAGATGGAACTCCTGTTTTCTCGCTCAACTCTGTCCAGACGAAGGCATTTCCTTCATGCGGATTTCCGAATCCGGGGGTTAGAGGAGAGAAATGCAAAGCGCTGTCCATGGTGCTTAAGTATACGGGGTGCCTCTGTGCGGATCTGGCAGCGTTTTCGCCAAATCGGAGGCTTAGGAGTGGTTTTTTTCCCTGTCCCCCCCCCAAAAAAAACCCCCTCTCTTCACACACATATACATACAAACACACAAATCATATGCACTGACAAAAAGAGGGAGCGAGTGTGTTGGTGTGTGCTTGTATAGACGAAGTCCAAAGCTGTTCCCGCCTGCCTTGCTTGCGTCTTTGTCCAGAAAGGATCCAGGGAGAGTTCCTTTGGATTTGGCCGCGTCCCTTCTTGCAGGGAGCCCTCCCGCTTTCCCTCCCGCGGCGCAGCCGGGCTCCTGGGGGAAACGAGCTGGCTCTGGCCCAGACGCCTCTCTCTCTTCCTCCCTTTAATCGGATTAGGTGGGAAAGGAAGACTGGGCGCATTCCACCCGCGCTGCCGCTCGCGACCCGCTTCCTGACCAGAGCCAAAGCCGGCAGCACCACCGGCTTGCAGAGAGAGCCAACCGAGGCGGCTATTTCCCCCGGATCGGGCCCCGCCTCGTTCCTTTGCCTCTCCCCGCTCCCCCCACCAAGGCCCCTCGGCCCTTGGGCTGCTCCGAAAGGGGTGTGGCCAGAGAAGGACGCGGAGGGCTGTGCTGGGAGATTCCGGAGCGCCGGGCCTGGTTAGCTTTTGGATGGGAGGCCACCAGGGAATCTCACGACTGTAGATTGCAATGGGAGGCGGGAGGGGGTGGGGGAGGAACGTCAGGGAAGAAAACAGCGCAAGCTATTTGTGTAACGTACAAAGAAAAGTGCCCGGTCGTCTCTGTGTTAATCCAGCAACGGAGTTTCTTTCTTTGGATGCCTTAGGAATATCCGGAGAAAGGACAATTTGATGCCTCGTTTTGTTAAAGACAGGAGTTTAAGTAGCAGCCCTTCCCCGTCCTCCAGCCATTTCGAAATGCCATTTCCTTGCTTGACAATTAATGTAACCTCTCTTTTATTCCTCCCCACCTTCCATGCGTGGTTGCTTTGCCGTGATCGGGGGTTAAAATATGGTTGAACGAATAAATCTATGAAATAAATAAACCTGGGACGTCTGGTGTTGATTATGGGTTCTCGAAAGTTTTCCCCAAAAATTATACTTAAATAATAATAATGATAATAATAATTGCAGCCTCCTACGGGAATTGCTCACAGGACCTACACCGGCCTTCAAACCCTGCCCTGCAAGAGGTAGTAGAAGCACCGATAACGCCGAGAAACGAAATCTTTGCTCGGGCTTTCCTTGGTTCGGGATGGAGGACTTGAGGCTGGATTCCCGCATAGCGAGAGAAAACGGAAAGGCTACGATTTGCAAGTCATAAAATGGAGCTCTGCTATGTCTGAGACTTGTGCCATATCTAAGCAGCCCTCCTTTCAAAGAGGGGTGGGTGGGTGGCCGGAGTCTTTCTCAGCCACGCTCTCCTTGCAGGCCTAAAGTGGGCATGGAGACCCTTGCATTTCCTTCCATCTATCGCGAGTGAAAAATCTCCAGAACTGGCCGCAGCCGCGAAAAGTGAGCAGGGTATGAAACCGAGGCACCCCTTCAGCAGCCCCGCTTGAGTCTGGCTCAGAAGCCAAGGGAACCACAGCAGGAGCTGGTCGCCTGGCTGACAGCAGCAGCCCCAGTCCGGCTTCCAGGCAGGTCCCAGGATTCGCCCAACCAGCTCAGGATTGAGAACACCTTGGATTTCCGTTCCAAATGCAAAGGTGGTATTGACCATCGCGTTGTTTCTTTGCAGAAGAACAATTGCTTTTGATAACCATATCCAATTATTTTGGAACGTAATAATTGGATACGTAATTGGTTCTTCTGAGAAGAACCGAACCGACGATTTGTTTCAATGTATTATACAAATACAATGTATAATTAACCCTAAATTAAAACATACTACCATTGGAAAATTATGTTGCTGCTGTTTTAAAAAACACCAACCCAAATAGTCTTAAAATATGAAGAAATGCATGTTAAGAGGTGAAATGGATCGTTTCCCTCTTGAGCTCTTCTAGAAAAAGGCGAATCAAAAGAGAAGAAAAGAAGTGGAGGAACAGAGGGGGAAAAGGAAGGGCGAAAGCTCGCCCGTAGTATTGCAGCCTTTTCGGTGCAATAAACCCAATAAACTCCACAGGTCTGTTTGCATTTACTGTTGCCACTTAAATTATTCAGTGTGTTGCGGTAATTGAATCCTAAGCTTTAAAAACTAATATACTCCCTTCCTTGTCACCGCTTTTCTGAATCATGAAATCCGCCCTAACAGGTGCTGATCAAATACTATTACATTCTATTAAAAAGAAAATTCTATTCCCTGTTTTCATTTCCCTTTATAAAGGGGAAACTAAGTAAATGCATTTGAACGTTATTTAATTTTTAACGCTTTTAGTCCAATTTGGACGTTAGGGAGCGTCTCCAAACTCACAAAACCCGGGCAGCGTGGCAATAAATTGGGTTGACTAAATTAATCCAAAACGGAATCTCTTTTTAGGGTGCTCCCTTTCTCCCCCTCCCCCAGCTTTGGCAATCCAGGGGCTTGACCCAAAGCAATGGCCAACTCACCCTACCGAAGGAAAGTGAACCTTTTTTTAAAGAGGTAGAAAGCATTGGGAATGTAAATAATTATAATTATAATGATGGTGGTGATGATGATGATGGTGGTGATGATGATGATGACGATGATGATGATGATGATGATGATGATGATAATAATAATAATAATCATAATCACAAAAAAACAATGTCTTGAGGAGCGAATGAGTGTAATGAAAACAGATTTTAAAAGAAAGCATCCAGGAAATGGTGTTTGGTTTTTTTAATTCAGGCTGGTCTGTGTTCAAGCTATTCTAAGGGGAAGTTCTTGGTGATAGGGTTTTTTTTGGGGGGGGGTGGAATGGAAAGGGGACAGACCTCTTCCCTGTTTCTTCAGGAAAACGATCACAATTGTTATATAGACCGTTGTAATCTGTTAGCTACTTTGAGTATCTGCATACACGCAGC